TTCCTCTAAAGTCATGAAAACAAGCGATGCAATGTCATCCATAGGGAATAGCAAGTAGGCCAGATCGGCTAAAATGAAGACCTAGAATAAGTCTGGAAAGATAGGTTGAAGCCAGATCATGGAGGACTTAAAAAGCCAAACAAGGGAGTCCGCATTTTGTCCTAGAGGGAAGGATCGAAGCTTCTGTAGTAGGGGATTGAAAAGGTCAACCTATGTTTATGCTAGTTTTTACATTTTTATGACTAAATTTTGTTCATTTGTTTATTACCTTTTTAGTGTTTATTATTTTTGAGCATCAGCTGTGGACAGCTCCTGGTTGCCATTAGCATTTTCTGAATGGGAAACAGCTGTGTGGTGGGCTCCTCCCTTAAGCAAGACCTGCTTTGGCCTCATTTTGTATGATGAAGTTATAGGATCGGCCAGTCTCCAAAGTCCTTACCAGTTCTAATATTTGGAGAGTCTGTGATTTCATTAGTACAGAGCTTATGAGATTAATAATAAACCTTTTGAGGCTGAAAGGGGCCTAACTCTTTGTAAATAAGGTTTTGGAAGGAAGAGAGCAGGGGTAGCAATAAGAGACAGAATGAGCAATCTCAAGTTCTGAGGGAGAGGAGTTTGCTATGTGGAGGCCAGGACCAGGGAGAGGAGAGGAGAGGAGAGGAGAGGAAAGGACTTCAGTGCGGGCTCTGTGCCTTGGGCAGGGAGTGATGGTGGTGAGAGAACCAGGAGAGCTCTAGCCTGGAGATCCAGGGCAAGTGTTTCATTTGTTTGTAACACCCATTTGCTCATTAATGAAATGAGTCAATGCACAAGTACAGCCTAATTTACTTAAGTTCGCTAAAAGTGCTAGATAAGTTACTGACCCTTGGCCTAGACCAGGAGTGGAGAACCTTGGGCCTTGAGGTCACACGTAGTCTTTTAGGTCCTCGGGTGCAGCCTTTTGGCTGAGTCCAAGTTTTACAGAACAAATCCTTTTATTAGGGGGGTAGCCCCACTTGAGAACCTAGAGGGCCACATGTAGCCTTGAGGCTGCAGGTTCTCTGCTGCTGGACCACACCCAGGGGAAATAGAGGGACACTCTTATTCTCTGGATGCTGTACAATTTCACAACTCGCATGGCAAAGGAAAAAGTACAAGCTACCATAGCAGTATTTCTATAGCTAAGTCTAAGTGTGGAGAGGTGGGGAACATTAGACATGGCAAGGTGACTGATTTCTGCTCCATGCTCAGAAGGCCTTAGAATTAAACTTTTCTCCTGGGCTAGAAAGTGAGACCAGTGTCCATTGTATTTGTTTCTGGAGGGCATACTCAGCTCTAACATATTTATAAACATACAGACATTACAACACATCTCTCTAATAAAGAGCCTTTCAGTTCCCTTTTCAGGATTAGTTGTGGCAGACAAACTCAAAGTATTTTAACTGTAAACAAGGGCTGTTTTCAATAGAACACTTTCAAATTGGCCCAGAGCATTAAAGAGCCAGATGGCTTTTGGATAGCATTCACTGTCCTCTAAAATCAGGGGACAAAGAAATCTTCAGTATTGCAGAATGTTTACTTTAATGAACTTTGATCAGAGGTCTAGTGCTAAAAGGGACTTCCAAGGTCATCAAGTCCAATCCCTCCCCCTTATTTCACAGATAAGGAAGAAACTAAGACACAGGTTTGGGTACAAGTTGAAGCAACTTGCCCGAGTTCATACAAGTGTTAAGTTCCAGGCGTAGAATTTGAACCTCAGTCCTCCTTTTTTCTTATCCAAAGGGCCAATGTTCATTGGGTGCTCATACTTATGAAATCAAATAAACTTTATCATTGGTGCAAACATTATCTATAAGAGATCACTGATTCCTCTTTCACATTAGGGGTAACTCCTGGCTTTAGGAGATCTACATCTAGAAGAGACCATGAGTCTAAAGGTAACAATTTGGAAAAGGAAATTTTTTTTTAACAGCCAGGATAGTGATATTTCAGCTCTAAGTGCTCTCTCTGTCTCTCTTTGTTCTTAGTCATTAAATTATGCAACTTCCAGGATAACAGCTGCTGACTTCAGGAGGGTTACTTATCCCCAACTTAAAATTCCTCTGATTCTCTGAAAGGGTGTTTATTCACATGGCCTTATTTTCATTGACACTGACTTTTTATACTCTTCTCCTTCCCTTCTTCCCTGAGGAGAAATAGGAAAAAAAACCCACTTACAAAGGAAAATGACGCATGTGCCATTCAATATTATCATTCCAAATCCTCATGGACTGTTGCCTGTTCTTAAAATATTTGAAACTGCTCTGAAAGCTACATTTGTCTGTAACTTTTCTTTTGTAAATGAATTCACATGTAAATTCACAAAACAAGTATTACATTTAAAAAATGTTCTTTGTATTGATCCATGATGCCTATAGTTCATACACAAAACATGGCTCCTTTCTATAGCACCCCTGAGAAGACTACGTCTAGTAGTGGAGAACTCTTTACTCCCCCAAGTCAGCAATCATGTTATGCTAGTTCTCATGTTCTGGATCTTTACAGACACTTACTAGATGTGTGACCTTGGACAACTTACTTAACCCTGTTTGCCTCAGTTTCCTTATCTGTAAAACGAGCTGGAGAAGGAAATGGCAAACTACTCTAGTGTCTTTGCCAAGGAAACCACAAATAGGGGGTCACAAAAATCAGACATGACTGAAACAATTGAACAATAACAAGAGCACAGTGGAAAGAATGTTGGTTCCGGACCCAGAAGTGGTGGATTCAGTTCCTACCTGACATTCATTAGCTACATGATCGTTATCGGGTAAGTCAAAACTTCCCTGGGTCTCAGGCTCTTCATCTGTGAGATGAAGGGGTTCACCAAAGATTTTTTCCAGCTCTACATATATGATAGCTCATCTCTGCAATCTGTTGAAAGAGAATCTGATGTTGTTTGTTCAGACAGGCTTGTTTCCAGTTCCATAGCAGCACACACCCAATATAAACAGATAGCATGCTTGTTTAGTCAACTTGAGTGCAAATTTGGCTTGCTTGTACCAGTCCAGGCCCCTGTCTACTTTTCCATCCTTTTTATACCTTATTCCCTCTCTATGTTCTCAGTGACATTGGCTGCTTTGCTGTTCTTCCTGCAAGACATGCTCTGTGTTTTCCCTGGCTGTTCCCTAGACCTGAAGTGTTCGAATCTCCACCACATGGCTTCCTTCAAGTCCTGGCTAAAATTTCACCTTCTACAAGATGCTTTTCCTAATCCCCATTAATGCTAGTGCCTTCCCTCTGTTTCAATGTTCTCTCTATCTCTCCCTGTCTCTCTCCACACATATATACACACATACACGCATGCACATATACACATACATATAGGTATACATATACATGTACATATACACACATACACATATACATGTATACACATAAATATATACATATACACACACACATGGGGAGCCATGCTAAGGAGGTTAAATGTGGTGTGGTTCTATGCCAACTGATATAAGCAAGAAGATTCAGCAGCAGCAGGCAGGATGCTGGCACCATGTTTCATGACAGTGAAAATGGCCTTGGTCTCTGGTCTAGGACAAAGTGTTTTATAGATCAGTGGATTTACAAGGTGCTGTGACGCTGCAAATTCACAGTATGAGCCTTGGACCCTAGGCTCTCATAAGTGTGTGAAAGCAGGAAAAGATTTTTTTCATCTCTACCTTGGAAAAATTTATTCCCTTTTCCTCCCTGGACACTGTGCCTCCCTCATACAACTGTTGATTTTTCTTATTTAAATGTTACACTCAGTTTCTACCCCTTTCCTCCCTCCCCTCTACCTTGCTGTCTCAATGACCAGGTTCCTAGAACTATCTGATGAATAACTCAGTAAGATGGCAGATGAGAGAAAGAGAGAAGATAAACCTAAAAATTACTTAAGGCCTTCCTATCTATATAATCAATAAACAAGGCAATTGAGGGAATGCTTGGTGCTGGCAATCTCTTGCCCAGTTCCACCCACACCAACAATCTTGTGATTCCCTCCTTTTCCCTTTCCAATGCCATCTATATAGATCTTGTAAGTTAAATTTCCAGTTCTATTCAAATGTAGTGGAGATGATGTGTAAAGAGGTGTTGGGGGAGGAGAATGAGAGAGCCACACAGTGGGATTTGCCTTGGATGCCCTTTTGGGTTGGTTTTGACTGGAGGCTATGAGGATGACCTCATTCTGTCATATTTAAAAGTTTCTGTAACATCCAAGCATTGAGATGGTGGCTAAAGAGAGCTATCTGATTTTCTGTGTTCAAAATGGACTCATGTTGCCAGATCCCAAGTGTTTCGTGATATTTTGGGAGGAGTTTCATATGAGGTTTTCCATATTTTATAATAGGCCAAAGATGTTTAAGTGGCAAATATAAGAAATAGTATGACATAGGGAATCAGGCGCTGGACCTCAAGTCAGGAGAAACTGGCTTCAAATTGTGCCTCAGACAGTTACTGGTTGTATGATCTTCCACAAGTCACTTAATTTCTCTGTGCTTCAATTTCTTCTTCTGCAAAATGGGAGGGATTCTTAAGGCCCACTCTTACAAGGAAGACGGGTTGAGAAATAACAGCGAGAGCGGCATTGTTAGAAATCAGCCTGTAGAGCAGGGGAAGATCTGGGGGCTTCAGTGGACTAAATATGAATCAATATTGTGGGCCTTAAGAATAGAGAAGTGTTATTTTGGGCAGTTGGAAAGTTACCCCTATCCCTGCATAATATCTCACTTGCCTAATTTCTTGATGCTCGAAATTTCACAATTAGATGTTTTAGAAGTAGTTTTTTGGCTGAGAATATTGTCTTTTGTAAATATAGAAATACACCCTTGAAGGAGATCACATATTTAGAACTCATTAGTGTGAAAGAATTTGTTACCTTGATTTAGAGCTAAAAGGGACCTTGGAGGCCAGCCCTGTATAGGTGAATTGCCTGTGGTCATATAGATAGCAGATGGAAGAGGTAGGTTTTTTAACTCAGATCCTTTCCTTCCAGAACCAGTATTCTTTTCCCTGGGACCATGCCATCCACCTAAAGATGAGAGAAAGAAGGGGCACTGGAACACTGGGTACCTGGGGCACAGGTAAGATGATGACAAAGAGGCGAAAGTGTACAGGAAGGTGGCTGAGTACGACTTTAATTTCTTTCTAATTTTGCTTGCTCTTGGGAGCTAAGAATACTTCAAGAGTTAAGCATTGGCAGATTTTTAGTTTATAAAAGCTGACCATTTGTACCATACCTTTCCTCCTTTCCAAGCTTTCAGTAGATCACATCTGGGTCCATAGCTCCCCATAGTTCACTGCAGGAATTGGGCAACAATTCATACTGATTTTATCCCACCAGTTTTCCCTGGCAGATTTAATATTCATGAGTGAATAGGTTTGCATGGATAGTGTACTTGTCAAAGAAGTTGTACATAGAGATCTTGGATCCAAATCATGGAAGCATCGGGTCATTGAGAAAAGAGTAGAAATTTACCGAAGAGGGAAAAGCTCATGTTTCTAACAGCAAGGGGAAGCCCATGGCTCTCCAAAATGGCAACATGTAAGGGAATTTCCTGGCATCATTGGCTAAACTTAGTCTTCCATGAGCCCAGTTAAGGTAATTTCTTTTATTCAGGCCACCTCTTCTTGTGAAGAGAGTCAAGTACATCTCCGAACAGTTATTACAGAACGTGAAAAAGGTTTAGGGAGTGTGTGTGTGTGTGTGTGTGTGCATGAGCTACTTTATACAGCTCTTTCAAGTTAACAACACCTTTCATATCCAAGGATTAAAAACAGCTTCCTCATGTACTGTAAGAAAAGACTACAATACATACAGAGAAGTAAGGGAAGCCTTCAGTGGACTGATACAAAGTGAAGTAAGCAAAATAAAGACAACAATATACACAATGTCTACAATGATGTAAATGGAAAAATAGCACCATGAAACTATTGAAATTGACTGCTGTGAAATTTTAATCACCAAGTTTGATCCCAAAGGACAGTTATAAGAAGGTAACTCCCCTACCTTCATTGCAGAGGTGGAGGAATGGTGGAACATTACAGATAATTTCAGGGTTGTTTTTTTTTTTAATATACTGGTTAATTTTGAGGAGCTTTTTTGGTATTCTTTGTTGTAAGAGATGACTCTCTGGGGAGGGGAAGGGAAGAGAAGAGCTACATTGGAAAATGCTGGTAATGTGATAACAAATTATATCAATAAAAATTTACTTTAAAGCGTTTTCTCTCCCTTCTGTTTTTTTTCCATTTCATGTTAAATTAACATTTTTGTTAATTTTTTTAAAAATCCACTCATTTTGGTGGCTACCAGGCTGTTGGATCCCTTGAGTTCTAGTTTTCTGAGTTACAGTGGGCTACGCCAATCCAGTTTCTGCATTAATATTCATCATTACCATGGTGAGCCATGAGGAGCAGGGACATAGAAGGTTGCCTGAGAGTGGATGAACTGGCTGAAGTTGGAAACATGTCAAAAACTCCTATACTTCTCAGTAGTGGTGTGGGCCCACTAGTAGCCCCTGTACTTCTGATCTGGGGAAGATAGCTTAAAAACAAAACAAAACAAAACAAAAACAAGTACTTACCAGTATCAATTTAAGTACTGACTTAGTGATAAATTTTACATATGATTAAAATGACATCAGAGATTCTTTGGATTTTCACCCAGAAGCATTTCCAGAATTGTAAAATTTATTTAGCTCTTGCCAGAAACTTCAAAAGATTATAGTTTCTCATGAGATCTCTCATATTCAGCTTCACTTGCCATCCTAAGCGTTGCTAGAAAGGCTTCCCCACTCCAGACTGGGGTGGGAGATTGGGGAGGTGTCAAGAGTATTTCAAAGCCTTCTCCAACTCCAGAGGTGTTCTCATAATTAGTGAAGGGCAAAGGAGCCAGGGAGCTGGGTATGTGTATTTGGCTACCTCCATCTGCCTTATTTTTCTCTCTTTTCATCACAAAGATTTTTTCAAAGGCCATTTGATGTGCTTGAATTCTTTTGAGCAGTCCTAAGGCTTTTCCCCCCCTTTTTTCTGAGAAAGGAAGTTGTGTTTTGTCAAAAGTAAACCATCTTGATCAAAAGTGCCATTTGGCTGAAACTTTAGACTCCAGAAGCTCATTTGCCTTCTGAATCAGCCACATGTTATGTTCCTGGTCACAAACAGATGGAGAATCAAAAACGTGGCTTGGTACTTTGGCTGTGCTCACACAACTCTTTTCTTTGGGGGGAGGGGTTTAATGGAGGAGGATGGAATGTAATCTCCCTCTGATTTTCCTGTCCTCTAGCTCCTCACTTTTACCATGAAGCAAGTAATACCAGGTCTACCTCGAGGGGATTTCGAAGTAATTCTTTGAAGTCTTAGGAAAAACTAATGCCTCACAAAATCAAAGGTAATTTTAATTATTATCCATAAAAATAATAATGATTTAGTTATGAAGTTGTGTCTTTGAACTATTTCTTTTTCGAAGATCTGCTAGCAACTTGTAAAATATTTATGTTTTCTCTTTTCAAACGGTCAACTGCTTAATGTTTGAGTCAAATCAACAAGCATTTTTAAGAGATCACTGTGGACCAGAGAGACAGCTAGGTGGTGCAGTAGATAGAGTTCCAGGGCTGGAGTCAGGAAGAGACATCTTAATGAGTTCAAATCCAGCTTCCAATACTTACTAGCTATGTGACCCTGGGCAAGTCATTTACCCCTATTTGCTTCAGTTTCCTCATCTGTAAAATGAGCTGGAGAAGGAAATAGCATACCACTCCAATATCTTTGCCAAGAAATCTCCAAATGAAGAGTCAGATATGACTGGAAAATGACTGAACAACAAATGTACCAGACATTGTGTTAAGCCCTGAGAAAACAAATACAAGCATAAAAAAAGAAAGTCCCTATTTTCTTTCTTTCTTTTTTTTTCTTTTTCTTTTTTTTAGGCAATTGGGGTTAAGTGACTTGCCCAGGGTCACACAGCTAGTAAGTGTCAAGTGTTTGGTCTGAAGCTGGATTTGAACTCAGTTCCTCCTGACTTCAGGGCAGGTGCTCTATCCACTGTGCCACCTAGCTGCCCCCAAAATCCCTATTTTCAAAGAGCTTATATTCCAATGGGGGATTGTGGTCATTTAATCATTTTTTCAGTCATATTAGACCCTTCAAAGACTCCATTTGGGGTTTTCTTAACAAAGATACTGGAGTGGTTTGCCATTTCCTTTTCCATCTCATTATATAGGTGAAGAAACTGAGGCAAACAGGATTAAGTGACTTGCCCAGGGTCACACAGCTACTAAGTGTCTGAGGCTGAATTTGAACTCATGAAGAGGAGTCTTCCTAATGGAGGATGGCAATACATAAGAGGGAGCTGAAAACAGGGAGTAGGGTGGGGCTATACTCTGAACTCACGACATTACTTTACATTCATTTTTCTGTGTACGTGTTATTCCCCACAATAGAATAAATGCTTCTTACAGGCAAGGTTTTTTTCTTTGGATCCCAAGCAGTTAATATAGTGTTTGTAACATAATATGTTTAGTTATTGCATTAAGATGCTCAATCAATTTTTGTTGAATGATTGAATAAATAAATGAGCAAAAAATATAATGAAGTCCTATTTAATCCTCCTCCCTTTTCCAAGGAAATGAGTCAAGGTTACATAATGGATCTACTATTATCTCTTCTGTTTTATAAAGCTACATTTCTGGTCATCTGGGAAACTCAAAGAATATGAACGTCAAGAGCCCTGGAGACAATGACTTAGAGGTTGTAAGTAGGCAGGTGCTTTCTTGAAATTCACAAGCAAAGAGACCCCACAAAATGATGAGTCACTTTGATGAGTCCTGATAACAGTACCTTTACGAAGTGATAATGATAAATCTGTAGTTGACTAAGGCTATACACCAGCCTGACCCGGGGAAGCCATGCACAAAGCTGAAAGTCATCACTACTCACTCAGTAGATGAATGTTTCATGATCCTGTGAAAGTAGAAGAAATTCATCCTAAGACACCAATATGTTTTATGGGAAACCAGATGGTAAAGTGACACTAATATGGCACTGAGTTGTAGACTTGATTACATGTAACCCAGTGGGGGTCATGTTCAGCGTTCTCTGTGGCTGAAGACTTTATTCACAGGTATCATATCCAACTTTTTTTTTGGTCTTTTGTTTTTCCCTCAATTACATATAAAAATGATTTTTAACTTTTTGTTAAGTCTCGATACCCAGCTAAATATGAATGTTATTCCATCTATGAGCCAATTCTGATGAAAGTAAGGTTCACATGCTCCCTTTCCCAAATTCCCCATCTTCCCTTTCACTGTAAAAGCTCTTTACATCTTTTATGTCAAATAATTTACCCCATTATACCTCTCCCTTTCCCCTCCTCCCAGTGAATTCTCCTTTCTCTTTAATTTTTTTTTTTAGATAATTACCTCATTATATTCAACTCATACCTGTGCCCTCGGTTTATGCGTACTCTTTCTAACTGCCCTAATAATGAAAAAGTTTTTAGGAGTTACAAGCATCATTTTCCCATGTAGGAATGTAAACAGTTTAACCTTATTTTTTTATTTTAGTTTTTTTTTGGGGGGGGGTAGGCTAAGTAACTTGCCCAAGGTCACACAGCTAGTAAGTGTCAAGTGTCTGAGACTGGATTTGAATTCAGGTCCTCCTGACTTCAAGGCTGGGGCTCTATCCACTGTCCTCCTAGCTGCCCCCAGTTTAACCTATTGAATCCCTTATGATTTCTCTTTCCTGTTTACCTTTTTATGCTTCTCTTACGTCTAGTATTTGAAAGTCAAATCTTCTATTCAACTCTGGTCTTTTCATCAAGAATGCTTGAAAGTCCTCTATTTCATTGAATATCCATTTCCCCCCTGAAGGATTATACTCAGTTTTGCTGGGTAGGTGATTCTTTGTTGTAATCCTGGCTCTTTTGCCCTCCAGAATATCATATTCCAAGCCCTCCAGGCCTTTAAGGTAGAAGCTTCTAAATCTTGGGTTATCCTGACTAAGGCTCCATGATATTTCAGTTGTTTCTTTCTGGCTGCCTGCAATATTTTCTCTTTGACCTGGGAACTCTAGAAATTGGCTATAATATTCCTGGAAGTTTTCATTTTGGGATCTCTTTCAGGAGGTGATCAGTGGACTCTCAAATTCTATTTTACCTTCTGGTTCTAGAAAATCATGGCAGTTTTCTTTGACAATTTCTTGAAAGATGATGTCTAGGGAGGGGTTATGGGGAGAGTTCAGTAGAGTTCCTGCAATTTCTCCAGCTTCTTTATTCTCTCATGATTTTCAAATAATATGTTTTTCACTGTTTACTATAGGCTTAAAACAGCCTCTCCAGGGGCAGCTAGGTGGTGCAGTGGGTAGAGCCCTGAAGTCAGGAGGACCTGAGTTCAAATCTGGCCTCAGACAAACACTTGTCTGAGCCTTAATTTCCCCATTTTCAAGCTGAGGGCTAATTTTTATTAAGGGGATTTGTTCTGTGAAGTTTGGATTCAGTCAAAGGGCCACACACTTCTGGCTGTGTGACCCTGAGCAAGTCACTTAACCCCAGTTGTCTAAACAAACAAAACAAAACAAAACAAACCATCTTCGTATTTTCCATCTAAATAATTTTTGTCCTTTAAGAAACATAATGGTAGGGGCAGCTAAGTGGCACAGTGGATAGAGCCTTGGCCTTGGAGTCAGGAGCACCTGAGTTCAAACCTGGCCTCAAACATATAACACTCACTAGCTGTGTGACCCTGGGCAAGTCACTTAAGCCCATTGTCCCATAAAAAAAAATAAACATAGTAGTATCGAACATTTCTATAGCACCTTAAAACTCATAAAGAATTTTAAGTGTCTTGTGTGTGCCATTCATAGCTTCATAGACTGTAAGGGCTGGAAAGGCTCAGAGGGATCACCTATGCCAGGAGTGGAGAACCTGTGGCCTCAAGGCCACATGTGGCCCTCTAGGTCCTCAAATGTGGCCCTTTGACTGAACCTAAACTTCACAGAACAAATCCCCTTAATAAAAATTTGCCCTCAGCTTGAAAACGGGGAAATTAAGGCTCAGAGAAATGACACCCCCCCAGACATATTGTGATAACTGAATAGATAATATAATTATAGTCTAGATTTCCTAAACTGATTAATGTGTGATAGCCATTAGTTTCCACTTCCCAATTCTAATTTTTAAGTAATTATTTTCTTCAGTGAGCATGTGTACCTCCTTCTCCATTTGGCCAATTCTATTTCTGATATATAGATAGTGTTTCCTGCTGGTGATGAAACAATCATAATTGTACAATTCGTACTATATTAGACTCTACTGCACTGGTTATAAAGTTCAAAAGATAGCACCAGCAAGTTGTCACTGACTCTGAAAGAGACCTTAACAATCATCTGGTTCAAGGCCTTCATTTTATAGATGAGGAAACTCAGGGCTAGAGAAGCTGAGTAACCTGAAAGGGGCAATGAGGTTCAGTGAAAAGAAGAATGCTGGATTTGGATTGGAGTGAGAGGACCTGGGTCGTATGTGGGCCCTGCAATGACCTGTGTCACTTACCTTCCATGAATGTCCACTTACCTCATCTATAAAATGCAAAGGGTTGGATTAGATGACTTCTAGCCACTTCTTCAAGTCCTAAATCTATGAAACTATGAGTTTGATAAAGGTCATTTAACTGGTTAGCACCAGAGTCAAGGCCTGGAACACAGGTCTTCTAATTCTCTATTTGGTGATCTTCCTCTACACCTGGGAATCAGCTGCCATTTCATTGTTCATTTCAACCAGTTTCAAAATAAACAAAAATTGTGCCAATTCAATGGGTTAATTCTTTTCTATCTTAAGTCAGAATCCCCTTTTAATTCTTTTATTTTTTTATTTAAAAAAAGAATTCCCCTCCCCCTTTAATTCTCAGGGGGTATCTTTGCCATTGGTAAAGTTCTTCTTTCCAAAAGAAGTATTTAAACAACAACTACAGCCAGAAGGGCACCTAATTCATTTTATAAAATCATATTTAGAAAGTATGAAAGCTTTGACAGAATGAGGGCTCAGAGCTTTACACTGAAAGGGACCCAAGAGGCCATATGGTCCAACTCCCTCATTTTTTATGAGAGATGTAAGGCGACTTATCCAAATTCACACAAATAGTGAATGGCAAAACCAGAATTTAAGCTCAGGTCATCCCTCTGATCCCAAATCCAGGTCTTCTTCAATGGTACTATGATTTCTCCCAGAATATGAAATATTTAAATATATATTTCAGCTCTAAAATAAACACTAAGAAAATACTTCTGGGGGGGGTGGAGCCAAGATGGCGGAGTAAAAGCAGTGACTTGTTTGAACTCTCCCCCAAACCCCTCCAACTACCTATAAAAAAATGGCTGTAAACAAATTCTAAAGCAGCAGAACCCACAAAAAGACGAGGTGAAACAAATTTTCAGCCCAAGACAACCTGGATCAGAAAGGTATATCACGCTAGGCTGGTAAAGGAGCACAGTTTGGCGTGGGCACGCAGGCCTCAGAGGACTGAATTGCTGGCAGCTGTGACAGTTTATAGAACTCTCAACCCAGGAATGCCAAAGACAATTTAGAAGGTCAGTGGAAAAAGTCTGTGTCTCTGGTGAAAGAGAGAAGCAAGGTGGTCTCAGCTCCAGTCCCCGAGGTTGGCCCTGGGGCGGTGGTTGCCTCCTGAGCTTCCATCCCACAGATTGAGGGGGAATTGAGTGGCTGATCAGAGGGGGATTGCAGGGATCTGTCTGCTTTGCCTATGCTTGGATCTGGGTCACAGTTCTGGGTGGTAGTCCTGGGGCAAGGAGGAGCGCTGGTGTGATGGAACTTGTAGTGGTGGTACAGAAAAGAGCGCTTGTGGTTACTCATAGATCAGAGCACAGGCGAGGAAAGGAATAAATACCTCGCCCTTGGTCATAGCACTTTGGAAGAACTGAAAATTTTCAGGTCCTTAGAAGTATCTCTAAAAATAGCTGCACAAAACTCCTGAAGCTTGGAATATAGTATGTTCTACACACTGGAAACAGAACCCTACCTTAACAAACAGTTTATAACTCAAGTAATTAGCTGGGATCATGAGCAAGCAGCACAAAAAAAGTCAGACTATATTATCTTACTTTGGTGACAAAGAAGACCAAAACATACAACCAGAAGAAGACAGCAAAGCCAAAGCTCCTATATTCAAACCACCAAGAAAAATATGAATTGGTCCCAGGCCATGGAAAAGCTCAAAAAGGATTTTGAGAAGCAAGCAGGAGAA